TCTCTCTCTCTCTCTCTCTCTCTCTCTCTCTCTCTCTCTCTCTCTCTCTTTTGGTTTTTCGAGACAGGGTTTCTCTGTGTAGCCCTGGCTGTCCTGGAACTCACTCTGTAGACCAGGCTGGCCTTGAACTCAGAAATCCACCTGCCTCTTCCTCCCAAGTGCTGGGATTAAAGGCGTGCGCCACCACCGCCTGGCTTCACTCTCTTTTATACCTATTAACCTTATGTTTAGTCTTCTCATTGTGTCCTGGATTTCCTGGATGTTTTGGGTTAGGAGCTTTTTGCATTTTGCATTTTCTTTGACAATTGTGTCAATGTTTTCCATGGTATCTTCTGCACATGAGATTCTCTCTTCTATCTCTTGTATTCAGTTGGTGATGCTTACATCTATGACTCCTGATCTCTTTCTTGGGTTTTCTATCTCCAGGGTAGTCTCCCTTTGTGATTTATTGTTTCTATTCCCATTTTTGGATCCTGGATGGTTTTGTTCAAATTCTTCACCTGTTTGGTTGTGTTTTCCTGTAATTCTTTAAGGGTTTTTTTGTCTTTCCTCTTCAAGGGATTCTACCTGATTACTTGTGTTCTCCTGCATTTCTTTAAGGGAGTTACTTATGTCTTTCTTAAAGTCCTCTATCATCATCATGAGATGTGATTATAAATCATAGTCTTGCTTTTCAGTGTGTTGGGGTATCCAAGGCTCGCTGTGGTGGGAGAACCAGGTTCTGATGATGCCAAGTAGCCTTGGTTTCTGTTGCTTATTTTCTTGCCCTTGCCTCTCACCATCTCTATATTTTTTGTGTCAACTGGTCTTGCTGTCTCTGACTGTGGCTTGTCCCTCCTGGAAGCCTGTGTGTCAGTCAGTACTCCTGGAAGACCTGTTCTCTCTGGGAGGAATTTCGGTATGGAAAGCTGTGGTGCAGGGTCAGTTCCGGATCCTGATGGAAACCGGAAGGATCCTGTCCCCAGCTGTTCTTGGATTCTGTGTCCTGATGGCTCTGGGCAGGTTCCTCTTAGGCCCAGGAATCTGAGCAGAACTGGTGGTCTTACCTGTGCTCACGGGTATGTTGGCACCCCTGGGAGACCAGCTCTTACCTGACAGTATTCGTATATGGCGTGCTGTGGCACAGGATCAGCTCTGGGTACAGACAGAAACCTTAAACAGTCTTTACACTTTGTCATGCATGTCTGTTCTTATCAGCCTGAGAAGACCCAGAATCACCAAAGAGATAATTCTCTTGGATATGTCTGCTAAAAACTTTCCTAAATTAGGTTAATTGAGGAAGGCAGGACCCACCCTCAAAATGTGGGCTGAACATTCCATGGGCTAGGGTCCACTACTCGACAAAAGAGGAAAGTGAGCTGGGTACATCGAGCATCACTCTCGTCTTCCTCACATGGGTCAGCTGTGACTAGTTGCCATGCCTTCCTCCCCATGGTGGACTGTATGTCCTTGAAGTGTGAGCCAAAACAGACCCTTTCTTCCTCAAGTTGTTTTTCCCCCCTCAGGAGTTTGACCATAGCAATGCAAGACCTGACCCTCTGCTCCCTCATCTGGGAGGAATGGTTCTCATGAGGACTAACATAGAGCATGTATGCATTCTGCACAACACCGGGAACATAGTAAATGATCATTTAGCTAGCACCCAACTTCAGTGAACATAGGGGGTCAGTATGCAATGGTTAGCTGTGTAATACTTCTGAAGATACTTATGATTGTTCAACATTATGATTGTTCTGTATTATTAAAGTCATTATGACCGTTGCCTTGGAAACTACCACTCAAAGCGTGTAGTGTTGTGAAGACAAAAGCTCTGAGGAATCTCACAGTCACCTAAAGATGCAGCAATGGAAAAGTGCCGTAACTGTCCTGTAAATGCATGTCTACTATGTCCTTGTCAAGAAAATGACACCTTAATAGGGTCCCATATCATCTGATTGTGAGCGTAGATATGAATATTTTAAATGCATTTAACTTAATCTTTAATACTGTTTTTTCTAATTTGCAGTTTCTGTAACCTAACAACTATTTTTGCAATTGAGAGCTTGGGGATGATTCCCAGGTAATGGGCAGTACCTCCTGGTCCTGCGCTTTTTATGTGTTTGCTTGTTTTAGTCTGTTTCCTGTTTTGGCTTTTTTGAGACAAAATCTCGCAACCCAATCTAGCCTAGGACCCTTGGTTCCCCTATTTAAGCACAATGCCTGGTAGAAAGATGGTGGGTTATGCAGATCGTGGCTCAAAAGAGAACTTTTTGCTTGGTCACAGAGGAGAAAAATTACACTGAGATTACCTGCAGGCCCACAGAAACTAACTCTACAACAATCTGCTCAAGTAGAACACACCCCTTAAGTGTCTGGATTAAAAAGTAAGCCCTCTCGTGGGAGATACCTCTGCAGAATCCCAGATGAAGAGACTGACGTTAAGGGCCCTCAGCAGAGAGTAGCTTCCAATACCCATACACTCACATACACTCACACACACACTCACACATACTCATACACACATGGCTCATACACACATACATGCTCACCCATGCTGTCACAAATATACTGTCACACACACATACACATTTGTACATACACACAATGACTCACATACACACACACATACACACACACATGCACACACACTCACCATACACTCACACACACACTCACACTCACACATACTCATACACACACACACACCTACACATGTGCATGCTCTCACACACAATTACAAATGTTCAGTTACCACCAGCCATGTAACCAAGCCCTGAGCCTGGCAGGGTAGCTCCCTGTACTCTGTAGCCTGAGGTAAGGGGATCACTCGAGCTCAGTTGTTCCAGGCCAGTCTGGAAGCACACTGAGGCCAAGTCTCCCTGTGTGTCCCCATCCGTCCCTCTGTATTTGTGTCAGTGAGTGGTGACAGCATCTTCATGCTGAAGATCTCCAGACTTACCAGTTCTCCTTACTCTTTTGCATCCCTGGAATGTTACATGTTAACAATTGCCAAGACTTTTGAATACATCATGGACCTAGCCCCTTCTTTCCATTTCCTCACCCACATCACCACGCCCTTCTCCCATCCTGGCTCACACGGTACGAAACTCCCTCCTCTTTGACTAAACTCCAACTCTTTTCTTACTGTAAGCTTTTTCTTATCTGATGCATACCCACCTGTTTTTGGTTTTGTTTGTTTTGTTGTGGTGGGGGTGTTGATTTTGGGGGAAGGTATTTAGCTAGACTTTGGCTACTATGTGGGTTCTTCTTCTACCCTTCTCAATCCCTTTTCTTCCATTCTTTTAACCCTCTAACACAAGATGCAAGAGGGAAAAAAAAGGATAGAGGGGAAAGGAGGAGGGAGATGTTATTGTTCAGACTATTACCTGCTGATTAGGAGCACCGAGTTCCTTGGGGCAAGTTTGATCTTTGCCATCAGTATATCTAATTTCTTCTTCTTCTTCTTCTTCTTCTTCTTCTTCTTCTTCTTCTTCTTCTTCTTCTTCTCCTCCTCCTCCTCCTCCTCCTCCTCCTCCTCCTCCTCTTCCTTCTCCTCCTCCTCCTCCTTCTCTTCTTTATGAAGGGCCACTTAATAGACCACAACCAACCTACAACTCACCACAATCAGCCTCTCAGGGTCCTAGCAATTCTAGACCCTCTGAAACCCCCGAATACCAAACATCACAAAATTGCAGCTCTTGTGGTCAGTCTGAAGTAGCCCCACACCCCACACTTGGGATTAAAACAAAAGCACAGTTCTATTTCTGTGTTTTTTAAAGAAACAAAAATTCTCACAGCAGGCAGAGTGTGTGTGTGTTGGAGTGGGGGGGGGTGTCTTTTTTCCTTTTCCATTTTTCCCTCAGTGCTGTTAAGCACACCCAAGGACCTCATTCCTGGTAGACAAAGCCTCCGCCATTGAATCCACAGTGCCTTTGCCCGTCTCTCCTCATTTACAACCACACTGTCCTGTGGGTTCTAAAGCTTCAGTCACACAGAACTAGGTTACCTTCCAGACTGACCCAGAAGGTCCTCCTGGCTTCTTCATGTGTCCATGGCCATGCGTACATATCTCTCTCTTCCTGAAGCACTGTTCAGCCACAGTCACTTCCTCCTCTCCCAGGCTCCACTGGCTGGCTCTTACCTACACTTGGGTCTGTCCTCTGCACTGCTCCACGGGGTCCTCTCACGCTTCCTTCTCTCCCACCGATCACACTGGTCTCCCTGGTAAACCCCGAGCATATTTAACCAGCTTGAGGACCGAGGCTGGGGCTTATTACTCCACTCCCTGCCGCCAGCAAGGGAGGTAGCTGTTCTAAGACAGTGTGATTGAGTAGATTAACAGGCAGAGCGTGAATAATGACTTTCTGATGGCTCCTTTGTTGTTTTTATTCCAGATCGAGTATCTACCTGGTAGCTGCCTTGATTTTTGTCCTGATGCTCACCTTCATCAGTATTCTGATTCTGAGCTATTTCTGGTACTCAAAGATTTATAGACAGTTTATTTTTGAGCCACTTCACAAGCCTCCTGCAAAACAGAAGAAAAATTAGGAAATCTGAGAGTTAACTCTGAATACATATATGTTGATAGATAATATACATATGTGTAACTATATTAAGAATGTGTTTGCCTAAGAAACAGTAAATATAAACTCATACTATTATTAAATTCAATAGCTGAAAAATATTGTTAAATTACTCCCCCAAATAGCATACCTTATATTATTGTATTTGTTATTCCATTTTAACGATAGCATATATATTGTTAAATTGCATTTAAAAAAATAAAAAACACTTACCTTTCGCTATTATGATGCTTCCTAACAATGAAATTTTTGGCAGTGAATAAATGTGTCAAATATTACTTTATTGGATCATATGGAACCGTGTATAATTGTGGTTAATTTATATGTAAGAACTTAATAAAAGCACATTTATTTAAGTCATCTGTTTTTAAATAGATTTCAGAAGCTTTTTTAGTGATAGGTTTCACATATGAGTTGCAGATGTTATATGGAAAAGGTCATCTTGGGCTGGAGAGATGACTTAGTCATTAATTAAAGTCTAGGCTCACAACCAAAAATATATAAAGGGGCAGTTAATATTCTAAATTTTAGTGCTGTTTTAACCCTTCGACTTTCATGCTCAAAATAGGCTTCTTAATTTATCCAAACTATATTGGAACTTTTAAAATGTTATTTTACATGTGAGTGCGTGGGTGCGTGGGTGTGCGTGTGTGTGTGTGTGTGTGTGTGTGTGTGTGTGTGTGTGTGTGTGTGTAGATTATGCTGTCTGGAAATCAGTGCCGTTGTGGGCCCTGGGTCTTACTGTACCAATAACGAATGAAGTAGCGGCTAAGAGTTGGTGGCACATGTCTTTAATCTCAACACTTGGGAGGCAAAAGCAGGTGGATCTCTGTGTGTCCAAGGCCAGCCTGGTCTACAAAGTGAGTTCCAGGACAGCCAGGGTTACAAGGTGAAATTACGTCTTGAAAAATCAAAAGAAGAAAGAAAAAAAAATGGTTTGATTCTCGACGCTCACATGATGATTCATAGTAACCCAGTTCCAGGACACGTAGCGCCCTCTTCTGGCCTCTATTAATACTGCATGCATGTTAACACTTCCATACACATAAAATAAAAATAAAGAAAAATAAATAAAGAGCTTTTTTTTTTTTCTTTCGAGACAGGATTTCTCTGTGTAGTTCTGGCTGTCTTGGAACTCACTCTGTAGACCAGGCTGGCCTCGGACTCAGAAATTCGCCTGTCTCTGCCTCCCAAGTGCTGGGATTAAAGACGCGCGCCACCGCCGCCTGGCTAAAGGGCTTTTTTGTTATTGGATATATTATTTACATTTCAGATGTAGTCCCCTTTCCCCCCCACCCAGGAACCCCTTATCCCATCCCCCACCTCCTTCTTCTATGAGGATATGCCCCCACCCACCCTCCCACTCCCACCCACCCACCCACTCCCACCCACGATTTCTCCCACACTGGGGTATCCAGCCTTCACTGGATCAAGGACTTACTCACCCACCTACGCCTGACACTGCCATCCTCCCCTACATATACAGCTGGAGCCATGGGTCCCTCCCTATGTGCTCCCAGGCTGGTGGTTTAGACTCTGGGAGCTCTGGTTGGTTGGTATTGTTGCTCTCCTAAGAGGCCTCAAACCCTTTCAGCTCCTTTAGTCTTCTCTCTCACTCCTCCATTGGGAACCCCATCATCAGCTCAATAGTTACCTGTGAGCATCCACCTCTGTATATATCAGGCTCTGGCAGACCTCTAAGGAGACAGCTATATCAGGCTCCTGTCAGGATGCACTTCCTGGCATCCACATCAGCATCTACATTTTGGTGACTGCACAAAGGATGGATACTCAGGTGGAACAGTCTCTGAACAGCCCCTCCTTCAGTTTCTGTCCCATCCTTTGTATCCATATTTGCTTCCATGAGTATTTTGTTACACCTTCTAAGAAGGGCCAAAGCACCCACACTTTGGTCTTCCTTCTTCATGAGTTTCATGTGGTCTGTGAGTTTATCTTGGATATTGCAAGCTTTTGAGCTAATATCCAATTATTAGTGACTGCATACCATGTGTGTTTTTCTTGTGATTGGCTTACCTCACTCAGGATGATATTTTCTAGTTCCATCCATTTACCTAAGAATTTCTCAAATTCATTGATTTAGGTAGCTGAGTAATAGTCCATTGTGTAAATGTACCATATTCTCTATATCCATTCCTCTGTTGAAGGACATCTGGGTTCTTTCCAGCTTCTGGCTATTATAAATAAAGCTTCTATGAACACAGTGGAACATGTGACCTTGTTATATGTTGGAGCATCTTCTGGGTGTATGCCCAGGAGTGGTATAGCGAGGTCCTCAGGTAATGCTATGTCGAATGAATCGATTTTCTGAGGAACCGCCAGACTGATTTCCAGAGTGTTCTACCAGCTTGCAATCCCACCAACAATGGAGGAGTGTTCCTCTTTCTCCACATCCTCGCCAGCATCTGCTATCACCTGAGTTTTTGATCTTAGCCATTCTGACTGGTGTGAGGTGGAATCTCAGGGTTATTTTGATTTGCATTTCCCTGATGACTAAGGATGTTGAACATTTCTATAGGTACTTCTTGACCATTCGAGTTTCCTCAGTTGAGAATTCTTTGTTTAGCTCTATACCCCATTTTAATAAGTTATTTGGTTGTCTGGAGTCTAATTTCTTGAGTTCTTTGTATATATTGGATATTAGCTCTCCATCAGATGTAGGATTGGTAAAGATCTTTTCCCAGTCTGTTGGTTGCTGTTTTGTCCTATTGAAAGCGTCCTTTGCCTTACAGAAACTTTGCAATTTTATGAGGTCCCATTTGTCAATTCTTAATATTAGAGCACAAGCCATTGGTGTTCTTTCATGAACATTTTCCCTGTGCCACACTTTATCTTCTATTAGTTTCAGTGTATCTGGTTTTAGGTGGAGGTCCTTTATCCACTTGGACTTGAGCTTTGTACAAGGAGATAAGAATGAATCGATTTGCATTATTCCACATGCTGACCTACAGTTGAACCAGCACCATTTGTTGAAAATGCTGTCCTTTTCCACTGGACAGTTTTAGCTCCTTTGTCAAAGATCAAGTGACCATAAGTGTGTGGGTTTATTTCTGGATCTTGAATTCTATTCCATTGATCTTCCTGCCTGTCTCTGTACCAATACCATGCAGTTTTTATCACTCTGTAGTACAGTTTGAGGTCAGGGATTGTGATTCCTCCAGAAGTTCTTTTATTGTTGAGAATAGTTCCCACTATCCTGGGTTTTTGTTATTTATTCCAAATGAATTTGCAAATTGCTCTTTCTATCTCTATGAAGAGCTGAGTTGGAATTTTGATGGAGATTGCAGTGAATCTGTAGATGGCTTTTGGAGAGATGGCCATTTTTACTATATTAATCCTGCCAATCCATGAGCATGGGAGATCTTTCCATTTTCTCAGATCTTTGATTTCTTTCTTCAAAGACTTGAAGTTCTTGTCATACAGATCTTTCACTTGCTTGGTTAGATTCACACCAAGGTATTTTATATTATTTGTGACTATTGTGAAGGGTGTCATTTCCATAATTTCTTTCTCAGCCTGTTTATCCTTCGAGTAGAGGAAGGCGACTGATTTGTTTGAGTTGATTTTATATCCAGCCACTTTGCTGAAGTTGTTTATCAGGTTTAGGAGTTCTCTGGTGGAAGTTTTAGGGTCACTTAAGTATACTATCATATCATCTGCAAATAGTGTAATTTTGACTTCTTCCTTTCCTATTTGTATTCCTTGACTTCCTTTTGTTGTCCAATTGCTCTGCCTAGGACTTAGAGTACTATATTGAATAGGTAGGGAGAGAGTGGGCAGCCTTGTCTAGTACCTGATTTTAGTGGAATTGCTTCCAGTTTCTCTCCATTTAGTTTGATGTTGGCTACTGGCTTGCAGTATATTGCTTTTACTATGTTTAGGTATGGGCCTAGGATTCCTGATCTTTCCAGGACTTTTACCATAAAAGGATGTTGAATTTTGTCAAATGCTTTCTCGGCATCTAGTGAGACAATCATGTGGGTTTTTTTCCCTTTGAGTTTGTTTATATAGTGGATTACATTGATGGATTTCCGAATATTGAACCATCCCTGCATTTCTGGTATAAAGCATGCATGATCATGATGGATGATTGTTTTGATGTGTTCTTGGATTCGGTTTGTGAGAATTTTATTGAGTATTTTTGCATCAATATTCATAAGGGAGATTGGTCTGAAGTTCCCTTTCTTTGTTGGGTCTTTGTGTGGTTTAGGTATGAGCATAACTGTGGCTTCCTAGAACTAATTGGTTAGTGTTCCTTCTGTTTCTATTTTGTGGAATAGTTTCAAGAGAATTGTTATTAGGTCTTCCTTGAAGGTCTGATAGAATTCTGCACTAAAACCATCTTACCTGGGCTTTTTTTTTGGGGGGGGGGGAGACTTTTAATAGACTGCTGGTATTTCTTTAGGGGTTATGGGACTGTTTAGATGGTTTATCTGATCCTGATTTAACTTTAGTACCTGGTAGCTGTCTAGAAAGTTGTCCATTTCATCCAGATTTTCCAGTTTTGTTGAGTATAGGATTTGATGATTTTTTTTAATTTCCTCAGTTTCTGTTGTTATGTCTCCCTTTTCAGTTCTGATTTTATTAATTTGGATACTGTCTCTGTGCCCTCTGGTTAGTCTGGCTAAGGGTTTATCTATCTGGTTGATTTTCTCAAAGAACCAGCTCCTGGTTGTTGATATTTTGTACAGTTTTGTTGTTGTTGTTGTTGTTTCTACTTGGTTGATTTCAGCCATGAGTTTGATTATTTTCTGCCGTCTACTCCTCTTGGGTGTATTTGCCTCTTTTTGTTCTAGAACTTTCAGCTGTGCTATCAAATTGCTAGTGAGTGCTCTCTCCAGTTTCTTTTTTAGGCACTTAGAGCTATGAGTCTTCCCCTTAGCACTGCTTTGTGTCCCACAAGTCTTGGCATGACAAGCCTTCATTTTCATTGAATTCTAAAAAGTCTTTAATTTCTTTATTTCTTC